TGCGATCTGTGAAACTGTCGCCACTTCGAGGCCTGCTGGGGGGCCCACCCCGGGCCCACCAGCCCCCAGCAGGTAGTGTACGCACGGGCGGACCCAAAAATTAGACCTCGCCAGCCCTGGGGGGCTGCGATTCTCTGTCCGCGAAACTGCCGTCATGTCCGAGGCATGCTGGGGGCCCGGCACAGTTTGGGGGACCCCCCCGCCACGGGCGGACCCAAATTAGACCTCGCCATCCCTGGGGGGCTACGATTTGTGAAACTGTTGCCACTTTCGAGGCCTGCTGGGGGGCCCAGCACAGTGGCGCCACGGGCGGACCCAAATTAGACCTCGCCATCCCTGGGGGGCTGCGATCTGAGATCCCCGCTTTCGAAGTGGCTAGGGTTGCTCAGGGATTGCAACTAATCAGCTTTATCTAGTCCTTGTCCTGAAGCCAGTTTCCTGCGAGTCTCCCGAATTCCGTCTGCAGACATATGTACCCCTCGCTCCGTCATCGCCCCCCTTATAAAGTGTCCTAAACTATTTGCGCCCCGCGTTTGCGCAGGGGTTGGGTACGTCGCCAGGGTAATGTTTCGTTCCCGGGCGTTGGCACGGGACGAGTTGAATGATACACTTGCGTTGCAATCGATTGTAATCCATTGGATTGCAAACGATTCGATTGCAATCCATTGGATTGCAATCGATTGGATTGCAATCGGTTGAATTGCAATCGATTCAATCGATTGGATTGCAGGGGAGGGACATGACGGAAGGGAGGGAGGGGAGGAGAGGGAGGGGAGGGAGGAGATGGAACGAAGGGTGTGGAGGGAGGGGAGGGAGCGGAGGGAGGTGGGGAGGGGGATTGCAGTGGAATGGAGTGCAATCGATTGCAAGCGATTCGATTGGGATTTTCGATCGTCGATCGTTGATCGTCGATCGTCCATCCTCGATCGTGGATTGTTCATTTTGGATCGTCGGCGAAAGGGAGGGCGGAGGCTCCGGGGGCTGGGCGGCCAAAGGGGGCAAGGGGGGGGGGCAAGCTTCCAAGCCCCCCCCCCCTTTGGCACAAAGGGGGGGAGGGGGGTGGGAGCTTCCAGCAGGGCGGCTCCAAGGGAGGGGGGCGGTAGCTTAAGCACCCCCCCGGGGGTAGGGGGGGGTAGCTTCCGGGGCGGCCAAAGGGGGGTGGGGGGTGGGTAGCTTCCAAGCCCCCCTCCCCCTTTGCACGAAAGGGGGGGAGGGGGGGAGGTAGCTTCCAGCAGGGCGGCGCCAAGGGAGGGGGGGGTAGCTTAAGCACCCCCCCCCTTTGGAAAGGGGGGGAGGGGGGGTAGCTTCCAGGGAGGGCCCAAGGGGGGGGGGGGGGTAGCTGTCAGCCCCCCCCTTGCAAAAAAAAGGAGGGGAGGGGGGGGAGTGCTTCCAACAAGGGCGGCTCAAGGGAGGGGGGGTAGCTTAAGCCTAGCCCCCCCTCCCCTTTGCTCGGGCCCTGTGGGCGCGCTCTCTTCAAGATAAGGCCATCCAGCTTCACAAAATACAACAGACGTCACGTGTCACCCCCGAAACCGTAGGGGAATAACCGATTCTAAATTTGGGATTCTGGGGGCCAGCATAAGGCCAGTCAGCCTCACACCGCGCGCGAGAACTGGACGCCATCGCGCGCACTCGCGCGCAGTCGCGCGCGTGCATACGTACAGTGTCCTAGTGAGACGAAAACGACCTACTCGTCGACCGAAATTGCCTGCACATCTGCACGTATGCAGTTCATGCGCATATACCAATGCATGCGCGTGCGTGTGTGTGTATACGCATATACGTCTACAACCATACATGTGTGCATTTATCAATCGCATCGTTCGGCCCTCGTGGAATATTTTCCAGGGGGGCAGTCAAAACAATATTTAATCGGCGGCGAATTCATGGCAGTCGGGATCCGGGGGGGAGGGGAGAGGGTGGGGGATCATCTTTTGTTTAACCGGTTTTGGACATTACTCCTGCTCCTGTTCCTCGTGGCGTCCTCTAAATGGGAAGGCTGCTGGGGCTGTTGCCCATGAGTGTGCGCAGGTCCTGGGACTGTTGCCCAGAGGCGCTGGCACAGCCTGGGGGTTGACCGAAGGAGCCCAGGCGCCGTCCATGGAGAGGGTGTAGAACTTGCCAAGCACCCTGACGACCATGAAGGGGGAGTCCAAGGAGGTCCAGCTGGCCGCGAAGGCGCACCGCGGCCAAGCCGAAGCCGTGGGGCCAGACCCCACGGAAACGGACGACCTGGTAAAACAGAGTCCGGCTGGCCGCCGAAGCGGCACGGCAGCCTAGTGGAAGAACTGGAGCCCGAGTGGAGAAGGGCGAGGAAGGCGAAGAACATGAGGAGGGAGCACTTGACGTGAAGGCCTGGTCCATGAAGACCCAGCTGGCCGTCGAGACGGCACGGCGGTCTCGTGGAAGCCCACGGATTAGCGTGAAGGGTTTGACGTAACCCGAGAAGATGATGAGGAAGAAACCCATGAAGCGGTAGAGTCTGATCTCGCAAGTCTGGCTGGCCCCGCAGCGGCACGGCGGCCTAGTGCGTCGCCTGGAGAGGGTCGAACAGGTAGCTCCGCACGCAACGCGTGATGGTCATCACGTAGGCGACGGAGGTCAGCACGCAGCCCGGGCAACTGGTCTTCACGCCCAAGAACAGCGGCCCGAAATGCGTGAACCTCGCCACGGAGACTGCGAAGGCCGTCTTGGACATCTTCGCAGGCGTGCACGGCTCGAAGACCGCGAGGCTCGTGCACTGGTGGCTCAGGTAGGACATGTCGGCACCAAATGGGCACGCTCAACCTGTGGTCCCCGACATGGACGACGTAGTCGGGTGGCAGCTGCGGCGGGGGAGCGCGACAGTCGAGGGGGCAGGGAACTGCTGCTGCAACTGCTCGTCGTAACTGGTTCCGCCGAGCAGCTGACGTAGGAGGACACGCCGTGGTCCCCACCCTATGCATACGTGACGGAGCGGCGGCGCGGGGGCATGGCGACGCGGGAAGCGGGACGAAGGGGGGGAGTCGTGCAGAACGGTTACGCCCTGGGGAAGGACGTATCCAACTTGCCCATGCGGGTTTGGGGGGAAGAACCGCTGGGGGTATGCACCTGCGGCTGCGCTCGCTCCTGCGGGAGCTCGGGCCCAGGCTGCTCCAATGAGGGTGGAAGGAGGGGAGGGGCAGCTGTCTGTGGTAGCTGGCGTGCGCGTGCGGATAGGGCCCGAGCGTATGCCCCAGCCTCTCTGGGGGAAGGCTGAGGCCCACCTCCTCCACCTCCTCCACCACCTCCACCTCCTCCTCCTCCTCCTCGTCGCCCTCGCCCTCCAGCGTGAGGAGGCCTGGGCTCGCCCAGCCCGGTCCTCGAGGCCTTGCAGCGCCGCCAGCACCTCGCCCGACGCGGGGTCCGCAGCGGCGCCGAAGCTGCCTCGCCGGGACCTCTGGCGTCGTGCCCTCCGCTCCCAGGCCGGGCCCGGGGAGCTCTCGGCCCCGCCCCAGGGACCAGCCTCGCTGGCCAGCCTATATGTCGCCGCGCCGTTTGTTCTCGACGCGCCAAACTGGACGACGCCGACACCACGGCAAGCGCACGGCAAGCCCTGCGCCCCGCGCCTCAAGTAGACGAAAGCCGGCACCGCAGCAAAACCCACGGCAAGCCCACCGCGCCCGTGGCGGTGTTTGCCCTGGTGGCCGAGGCGCCCTCCCAAAGAAGTAAGACCGCGCGTCGAGATAAACGGCGCGGCGAGATATGAGGGGCAACGGAAGGGGGGGACATCGACCGGAACTGCCACCGCCCGAAGAAGCACCAGCTACGGCTGACCTGGCTTGTGATGCTGGCGACTTTGTGGGGGCCAACCACTGACCGGCTCCACTTCCCCCTGAGGTGCAACGATAAAGCGGGACCGGCATAGGGGGGGCAGGGGGCATCGACCTGGAATCGGCAATTCATCCTAGATAGATCGGCGATAGGCCACCGATAGCGAATCCGCACGTTCCTGAGCGGGGTGGGGCTATTGGAACCCTTCTCAGCAATGAATGGGCGATTGGAGGTCGATGTATCCCCCCTGAGCACATCACCGCCCCCGACTCTGTCCCTGACTAAATATAGATCTCATCCTCCAATGGCACCCGCCGTCTGGAACAAAACAACAAGACTGAGATTCCTCCTCTTTGGGCCTCTGGGGCCTGGAGCACCCTGAAAGCCTGTAGGAAATCATTATCAGTCTGGGAAGCCTCTCGGAAGCCGTTCACCAATCTATCAAAGCCTCTCAGAAGAAACGCCTCTGAAGCATTTCGGAAGCCTGCCAGAAGCCATTTCGAAAGCCTTCATGAAACCACTCGCGAACCTCTGGAGGTGCTGCTTGAGTGCATGGGGGCAGAGAAAACGAAAGGGTCTCAGCCTGAGAACCAACTCCATTCCCAACTCTTTCCCGAAAACAAATCGTGAAACCTGGAGAAGGCCCTCCACCCAGGGAACCAAACCCTTGGCCCGGAGAGCCCCTTTGTGCCTGAGGTCGGAGCAGGAGGTGAGGGGGGAAGCGGTCCAGGATCCCAAAGGTCAACAAACCCACACCGGCCGTGACGGTGTCTTCCGCGACGCCAGAGCTCCGCCTCCTCGGTCGGCGAGGACGGCAGAGGTGCCTGGGGGGGGCGAAAGAACAGGCTGCACAATGAGCACCCCTGCAACCAAGGCCCTTTCGCATGATGCGGGAATCGAACCGATCAGGGCACTTTACAGTCCCGCGGCGTCGTGATTTTCTCACGATGTGGACCCCAGGAGGTCTGGACCTTTGATCCCTGTGTATTTGACGGCTTCGCGGCCGGGTGCCCCCGCAGGCCGAAAATCCCACAAGCCCTCTGGGCGCAGGTGGTTTAGGGAGTGTTTGTCATTCCAACCGGCTTGTTCCCCATCGGAGGGAGGTTTACCTCTGCCCGTACCCCTCTCCCTGGGTCTCGGCCCAGGGGGGGGGGGCAACGGGCCAGAGTGTCCAGGATCGCCCAGGAGACGGCCCCAGATAGCCCAAGATCGCACAAGATAGCCCAAGATGGTTCAAGATAGCCCCCAATACGCCTCCAAGAGGACCCAAGACTGCCCCAAAACGGCGCCAGGTGGCCTGGGAGCCACCAGAAGACGTGAAATTACATGTGTTTTGCGTTTCGCTTCCGATGGGCTCCTGAGGCCTCAAGATAGCTTCAGGGTCGCCCAGGAGAGCCCCAAGAGAGGCCCGAGAGGGCCCCGAGACGGCCCCTAGAACGCCTCAGAGCGCCCCAACAGCAGCCCAAGAGGTCAGCCCACCCCCCTGTCAATCGATTGCCTCCAAGGTGGCCCCACGTGTGCCCGCAAGGCCCCAAGAGCGCCCCCAAGAGAGCTCCGAGAGGGCTCCACGAGGGCCCAGAGGGTCCCCCAACTTGCCCCACAGTGGCTTCAAGAGGGCCCATGTAAGCTGCCGACAGGCTCTAAAATCGATAGGTCCACGAAGGCATTCATGGTTGACTCCTGGGCCGGCATGCTCCCACAACTCCCTGATCAATGCAACTCCCCTGGGCATATTTTCTTGGATGAGAGAAGGTGGAGATATTCTTTAGTCAGCGGCCGAAGGCGAGCGCGCTGGCGGCGAGTCCAGTCAAAGCGGGGCACGCAGCGACGAATTTTCCTAAAGCAACGGAGGGCGGCCTCACCTAAAGCGGCTAAACGGGGCCTCACGCAGCAACTCAGCGGCGGACCGGCGAGTGGAGGGGGCAGCTGAAACTGAGTCGTGCTGCCAGCGTGCAGGTATGCATGGCGTCGGAAGGACCACGAAGTCGGGAAGAACGACGACCAGGGTCAGAAGCCGAGGGATTAATGCATGGGCGCGAACCCCGGACACCTGCGTGAGTACCAGGGTGGCCGCAGGCAGAAGGACCGTCGGTCAAGTCGAATTGATGCCGAAAAGGGCGAGAGCGTTGGCAGGAAGAGCTGGAGATATGCGAAGCGGTAGACTTCGCCTCCCGTCGGGATTCTGCTCACGACGCGAAGAGGCCTGGCTTTCGGGACATTACTCGGGTCGCTGGCGGCCGTTCGAAACGATCACGGCATTGAACGCTCCCAGCGAGGCGCAGCCGCTGGAAAGCAGCCCAGGGCTCGAAAACCTCCAGGATGCAATAGAAGTGGGTGTAAACCGATGACGGCGAGGACGACTTACGATTGGCACGCCCGAAACCGGTACGGAGAAAATGAATACGATGCCGAACAACAAACGTCGTCCAAAACCGAACAGCGATCGGTCGCCGTTGGGCAGGCAACCTCGTATCTCAAACGGACAACGTCCGCGGCGACACCGACAGCGAGCCCTGTTCACAATAGGCGGACTGCTGTTGGTCTTCGTCCCTCCTGTTCTTGCAGAGTCGGAACATGGGCACAAGAACGTCCACCAAGAGCACGAGCCCCTTCGCCGAGAGCCCAGGGCCCCATGGAGATACGCCGAACCAAGGACATTCCAGGGTGTAGAGCCCAAACACAAACATCGTCAGGGTACCCCTCCAAAGCTAGGACCGTTCTCAACCCTCGCCCCAGCTGTACCCATTTCGATCGTGCCGATGAGAGCGTCGGGGCGGTGCTGCCTTGGAACACCAGGTAAAACCTGCTCCAGGAACAATGATTATGTAGACGGACCTACCTTTTCTCCGACGCTAGTATGCGACGAACGCAACAAACGCGTGGTCTATAACTTAGACGTTTACACCCCGAATGCGTTCATAGACGTAACGGCACCCAATGTGTCCGTAGACGCTCGTGGCTAGAACGTGAGGACGGTATTCGGCCCAGGCCCGAGACATTGGTGTTCAGAAGCAGCAGGTAGACTGGGCCCTTTGAGTTCTCCCCCCCCGAAGTGCCGGGCGTGGCGGTGCCGAGCGCCCCGGCGCCCCACGGGACCGACTCCCACTGCACGCGCGGCATCGCCATCGCAGAGCCCCGCGGCTCCGCGGCGTCTACCGCGGGCTTCGGCCCCACGGCCGGGCGGGCTCGGGCCGCACGGCGGCGCAGAGAGACCCCGACCCTATCTTCGAGGGGGGGGGGGGGGGCAAAAGGGTAGGATAGCAAAGGGTATAGGGTAGATAATCAGCTCACGTAGCTGGCTTGCCTGGCGCCTCCTGGCGCCTGGAGGCGCCCCTGTATCGAGGAAAGGGCCCGGCGGCAGGGCCGAAACCAGCTGCATGCGGCAGATTTCGTACCCGCCCCTTTTCCTTGTCCTACCCTTTCGTCCGGTCCGAGATCATCTCTGTGTGAAGAGTTCACGACGGGCGGTTGTCGACAATGTTCGGACTCTCGGGGCTCTCACCAGACCCCGCCACCGTCAAGAATGACTCAGGCTGAAATCTGGTCCTGGGGAGGGGGTCAAGACCTCCGGGGGTCCGCGCTGCGAAAAAAACACAACGTCGGAGTTCTGCATGGGAGCCCACTCTCCAGATATTCCTCGCATCGGAAAAGATCGAGGCGGCCAGAGGGTCGGAATGTGTGGCCTTTGGGGGGGCCCCTCGCACGACTCGGGACCAGAGCGTCGCCCCTGCGGAACGCACACGTATATGGCGTATGTCCGAGCCCACCAGGGGTCGGCGACTCCCACGGGTGTGGTTTGAAACCCGCACCTTAGGAGGCGGGCGAGGAACTCGACAGAGTTCTCCGCCGCGCCCCGAGAAGGCCTTTGGGGGCATGCGCGCGGCGCCGCCGGCTCGCAGCAGCCCGCGCTGCTCGGCGGCGGGGAGGGGGAGAGGAAGGGAGACGCAGGCAAAGGGCGCCCCTGCGTCGTTGACAAAATCAATCGGCAAAGCCAGGACCAGGACAAAATCGGACCAGGACAAATCTTGCCGCCGCGCCCAGGGGGAAGTGAGACGGAGCAGGCCTTCTCAGAAGGCGGCGTGGCTTCTCAAAGCCCCCCAGCCTTCTTAAGCGTTGTGTGCCTCCGGGGAAGGCCTAGAACACTGCTCAGCAGGGCAAAGCCTTCCGAGCCTTCCGAGAAGGCCCACCCCTCTCACTTCCCCCCCGTGGCGCCGCCGAAAATCGGAGATCCCTGAGATTCGGCGGATCTGGAGGATGCACCGGAAGCCGAGGCCATTCCAGAGCGCTCCGACAGCGGTCCGCAACGCTCTTTAGCGCCCCGTCCAAAAGCCACGACGGAAGGTTTCTGGCCGTTTTCGGCCTCCAGGGTTAGGTCGGGCATGTCCTCCTACAGGCGTATTTTGGACAAAAAAATGG